GGGGGGACATGGGGGGACAGATGGGGACATGGGGCACACGGGCGGACATGGGGCATGGGGGGACATGGGGCACAGAAGCACATGGGGCACATGGGGGGACACGGGGGGACATGGGACATGGGGGCATGGGGGGACAAGGGAGGACACAGGGGACATGGGGCACATGGGACATGGGGGGACATGGAACATGGGGCACAGGGGGACATGGCAGGAGCAACCAGGTCACGGTAGCAGTGCCAGCCCTGCCGTGGCACCAGGACATGGCACTGCCAGGGATGCAGGGCAGGCACAGCCTCTCTGGGAATTCCACCCCTCACAGGGAAGAATTTACCCCAAAATCCCACCCGAACCTCCCCTGTGTCAGTTCCAGCCGTGTCCCCCTGTGCTGTCACTGCCTGTCCCCATCCCTCCTCCTTCCAGGCTGCCACAGGGAGGTTCCCCATCCCTATTCCATGTTTTTTCTGGAATTCCTGCTGGTGTCCATAGGAAAAGATCCTTCTAGGCCTCAGTTTCCCCAAACTTGCCCCATTCTGCTGAAACCTGGGGACACCTGGAGCTCCCCGGTGCTGGGATCAGCTTTTCCTCCTCTGAGCCCAGGATTTGGGAGCAGCTCCAGGGAATTTCGGGGCTTTTCCTGCGGAGTATTCCCAGTGCGGCCTCGCTGCTCCAGCCCACAGCTCCCACCATCCCACAGCCCCGCAGCCAGGCTGTTCCCAGGCTGCCCCTGGAGATCCAGAAAAACCTGGAATTGTGTCCTGGATCTCCCTTTGATCCCCATCCAAGCCCAGCTCCCAAAGGGAGGGTTTGGCTCCAGGGGCAGGAGGGGAGCTCCAGCTCCGCGTCCTGCTCCGGGCTGGGCTGCTCTTCCCGGGGAAACTGAGGCAGGGAGGGGGCAGAGCTGCACCTGAACCCCCTGGAATTCCCAGTCTGCCCCCACAGTGAGGCTGGAGCCCCTGGAATTCCCAGTCTGCCCCCAGAGTGAGCCCCTGGAATTCCCAGTCTGGCCCCAGAGTGAGGCTGGAGCCCCTGGAATTCCCAATCTGGCACGAAATTTAGGCTGGAGCCTCTGGAATTCCCAATCTGGCCCCAAAGTGAGGCTGGAGCCTCTGGAATTCCCAATCTGGCACGAAATTTAGGCTGGACCCTCTGGAATTCCCAGTCTGCCCCCAGAGTGAGGCCAGAGCCCCTGGAATTCCCAATCTGACCCCAGAGTGAGGCCGGACCCTCTGGAATTCCCAATCTGGCTCCAAAGTGAGGCTGGACCCTCTGGAATTCCCAATCTGACCCCAAAGTGAGGCCGGAGCCTCTGGAATTCCCAATCTGGCTCCAAAGTGAGGCCGGAGCCCCTGGAATTCCCAATCTGGCTCCAAAGTGAGGCCGGAGCCCCTGGAATTCCTAATCTGACCCCAAAGTGAGGCTGGAGCCTCTGGAATTCCCAATCTGGCTCCAAAGTGAGGCCGGACCCTCTGGAATTCCCAATCTGACCCCAAAGTGAGGCTGGACCCTCTGGAATTCCCAATCTGGCTCCAAAGTGAGGCTGGAGCCTCTGGAATTCCCAGTCTGCCCCCAGAGTGAGGCTGGACCCTCTGGAATTCCCAGTCTGCCCCCAGAGTGAGGCCGGAGCCCCTGGAATTCCCAATCTGACCCCAGAGTGAGGCTGGACCCTCTGGAATTCCCAATCTGACCCCAAAGTGAGGCCGGAGCCTCTGGAATTCCCAATCTGACCCCAAAGTGAGGCCGGACCCTCTGGAATTCCCAGTCTGGCTCCAAAGTGAGGCCGGACCCTCTGGAATTCCCAGTCTGCCCCCAAAGTGAGGCCGGACCCTCTGGAATTCCCAGTCTGACCGCATAGCAGCAGATTTGGGAGTTTATTACAGCTGTGACCTCCCTGGGTTTGAAAGGAAGGAGAATATCAGCTGAATTCCTGGATTTTGGGAGGAAAATGTGGAATAGCAGCAGATTTGGGATTTTATTACAGCTGTGACCTCCATGGGTTTGAAAGGAAGGAGAGTATCAGCTGAATTCCAGGTTTTAGGAGGAAAAAGGTGGAATAGCAGCAGATTTGGGATTTTATTACAGCTGTGACCCATCCTGTGACCTCCCTGGGTTTGAAAGGAAGGAGAATATCAGCTGAATTCCAGGTTTTAGGAGGAAAAAGGTGGAATAGCAGCAGATTTGGGATTTTATTACAGCTGTGACCTCCCTGGTTTGAAAGGGAGGAGAATATCAGCTGAATTCCAGGATTTTGGGAGGAAAATGTGGAATAGCAGCAGATGTGGGAGTTTATTAGAGCTGGGATGAGGAGGAGGGAGGGAGGGGATGCAGAGGGAGGGGAAGGGGAGGAGGGAGGGGAGGGAGCAGCTCGGGCCCCCCCGGGCTCTGAGCAGCCTCTCCCGCAGGGGCTGAACCCCGGCAAAGCCATCGCCGAGATCAAGAAGATGATGGCGACCTACAAGCAGAGAGCAGCGACTGCCTGAGGGCTGAGTGACCCTGGAGTAAGCCTGGAGTAACCCTGGAGTGACCCAGAGTGACCTGGAGTGACCCAGACTGACCCTGGAGTAACTCAGAGTGACCCACAGTAACCCTGGAGTAACTCAGAGTGACCCTGGAGTGACCCAGAGTGACCCTTGAGTAACTCAGAATGACCCAGAGTGACCCTGGAGTAACCCTGGAGTGACCCAGAGTAACCCTGGAGTAATTCAGAGTGACCCAGAGTGACCCCAGCTCCAGCCAGGCGTTCCCTCCAATAAAGGCTGTAAAGAACAGCTCAGGCTCCACCCTTTATTATACATTTATTTTATTTTTATTTCTTTTTCATTTCTTTATTCAATCCCTCCATGGAGCGTTCTGCCGTCCCGCAGCTCTCGGGGCTGCGAGGCTCTGGAAATCCTGGGATCAGCTGGGAAAAGGGAAGGGGGCAGGGATCCTGAGCCTGAAATCCCAAAACTCAGCGTTTGGAGCTCCTGGGTGCAGATCCACCAGCAGCGAGGTGTCCTCTCCCGCTCCTCTTTTCTCCAAAAAAAGTGAATTTTTTACCTCCAGATCCAACAGGAGTGAGGTGTCCTCTCCCACCCTGTGGGACCCTGGTGTGTATTCCTGATTTCTACTCCAAATCTTGAGAAAACTGGGGTTTTTAAGGGTGGCTCTTCCTCTTTTCCCCAAAAAAAAATCATTTTTTACCTTCAGAGCCATGAGAAACGAGGTGTCCTCTCCCACCCCGTGGGACCCTGGTTTCTATTCCTGAGTTTCTGCTCCAGATCCTGAGAAAATTTGGATTTTTAGGGGTGCCTCTTCCTCTTTTTCCCAAAAAAAAAAGCATTTTTTACCTTCAGATCCACCAGGAACGAGGTGTCCTCTCCCACCCCGTGGGACCCTGGTGTGTATTCCTGATTTCTACTCCAAATCCTAAGAAAATGGGATTTTTTTTTTAGGGGTGAATCCTTCTCTTTTCTCTGATATTTTTACCTCCGGATCCCTGTTCCACCAGAAACGAGGTGTCCTCTCCCACCCCATAGGATCCTGATTTCTATTCGTGATTTCTACTCCAAATCCTGAGAAAATTGGGGTTTTTAGGGGTGGCTCTTCCTCTTTTCTCCAAAGAAAATGAATTTTTTACATCCAGATCCACCAGGAACAAGGTGTCCTCTCCCACCCTGTGGGACCCTGGTGTGTATTCCTGATTTCTACTACAAATCCCAGGAAAATGAGATTTTTTAAGGGTGAATCTACCTTTTTTCCCAGTTTTCTTTGACCTGCAGCTTTCTCCGGTTTGGGGCGTCTGGAGCCGCTCCAGCTTTGCAGTGTCACACCCGAATTTTGGGGTGTCACACCCAATTTTGGGGTGTCACAGCCTGGTTTTGGGGTGACACACCTAGTTTTGGGGTGCAGACTCCAATTCCCAGCATCCCCCAGGGTGTCACTCCCAATTTTGGGGTGTCACACCCTGATTTTGGGGTGACACACCTGGTTTTGGAGTGCAGACTCCAATTCCCAGCATCCCCCGGGGTGTCACACCCAATTTTCGGGTGTCACACCCTGATTTTGGGGTGCAGATTCCCAATTCCCAGCATCCCCTGGGGTGTCACACCCAATTTTGGGGTGCGGACTCCAACTCCCGGCATCCCCCGCGGTGCCGTATCCGGTTTGGGGCGCGGACTCCAACTCCCGGCATCCCCCGCGGTGCCGTACCGGGGTTTGGGGCGCGGACTCCAACTCCCGGCATCCCCCGCCGCTCCGGGCCCGCCCCTTCCGGCGGCGCGCGGGGCCGCGGGGCCGCGCCATGAGCTCAGGTCAGGAACCGGCACCGGGATCAGGAATGGGACCGGGACCGGGAATGGGATCGGGGTCGGGATCAGGGACGGGATCCCCTGAGCGCCCGGAGCCTCTCGGAGCCCAAAAGCGCCGCCGGGGGCTCCCGGGGCCGCTCCAGCGCAGCGCGGGGGGGGCGGGACCGGTGCGGCTCCGGTCCCATTTATTCCCATTTATCCCCGTTTATTCCCATTTATCCCCGTTTATTCCCGTTTATTCCCATTTATCCACATTTTTTCCCATGTATTCCCATTTATTCCCATTTACCCCCATGTATCCTCATTTATTCCCGTTTATTCCCCTTTATCCCTGTTTATCCCCATTTATTCCAGTTTATCCCCATTTATTCCCATGTATCCCCATTTATTCCCGTTCGTCCCCATGTATCCCCATTCATTCCCATTCATTCCCATCGATTTCACTGTATTATTTTGCCTTCTAAACTTTTGCTTCCTAAATGTGCCTTATTATGCTTTATTTTTTTTTTAATTTTGCTTTATTCTCTTGCCATTTTTTTAAGTGTTGCATTTACAATTTGCTTTGTTATTTTGCTTTAATTTTCTTTATTATTCCGCTTTATTTGACTTCATTTAATTTTATTTTGGTTTTTTGCTTCCTTATTTTGCTTTCTTTTGTGGCTCGCTTTCTTACTTTCACTTTTTTATTTTACATTTGGCATCGTCATTTTGCTGTAGCTTTGTTTCCTAACTTTGTTTTTTCTGCTTTTTAATTGCACTTTATTTTGCTTTTTTCCTTTGCTTTGACATTTTTTTCACTTCATTCCTCTTTATTTTTTTCCTTTATTTTGTTTTCATTTTTCTTCTTTTTTTACCCCAATTCATTTTGCTTTTTCTCTTTTGCTTTATTTCACTTTTTATGTTCCGTTTCACTTTTATTTCACTCCATTTTGCTTTTTTATTTTGTTCCGTTTCTCTTCTATGTCTCTTTATTGGGCTCCACTTCCCTTTTTTATTTTGCTTCGCTTCCCTTTATATTTCACTTCATTTCCCTTTTTTTATTTTGCTTCATTTCCCGTTTTTCTCCCACTTTCTTCCCCGTTTTCCCGGCCCCTCTCCCATCCTGGCTCCTCCTGGCTCTGCATCCCTCGGGAATTCCGGCCCACGGATGCGAGGGGCAGGAATTGTGGGGAGGGCTGTGGGCTGCTCCGAACCCCAAATTCCCCAAACCCCAAAACCTGCAAAACCCTCAAACCCAAATCCCCCAAATCCCCCAAATGCCCAAATCCCCCAAATCCCCTAAACCCCAAACCCCATAAACCCCCAAAACCCAAAACTCTCAAACCCCAAACCCTTCCAAATCCCCCAAACCCTCCAAACCCCAAACTCTCCCAATTCCCCAAACCCCAAACTCTCTAAACCCCAAACTGTCCGAACCCCAAATTCTCCAAACCCCAAACCCCCCAATTCCCCAAACCCCAAATTCTCCAAACCCTCTAAACCCCAAACTCTCCAAACCCCGAACTCTCCCAAAACCCCAAACCCCCCAAACTCTCCAAACCCCAAACTCTCCAAACCCCAACCTGCCCCAAACCCCAAATTCTCCAATCCCCAAACTCCCCAAGCCCCAAACTCTCCAAACCCCCCAAACTTTCCAAACCCCCCAAACCCCAAACTGTCCAAACCCCAAACTCCCCAATCCCCAAACTCTCCAAACCCCCCAAACTTTCCAAACCCCCCCAAACCCCAAACTTTCCAAACCCCCCCAAACCCCAAAGTCTCCCAATCCTCCAAACCCCAAACTCTCCAAACCCCAACCTGCCCCAAACCCCAAATTCTCCAATCCCCAAACTCCCCAAGCCCCAAACTCTCCACAAACCCCAAACTTTCCAAACCCCCCAAACTCCAAACCCCCAAACCCCAAACTTTCCCAATCCCCCAAGCCCCAAATTCTCCAAACCCCCCAAACCCCACAGCGGGATCCCCCTGGCCCCCCAGAGCTGCTTCCCGCGGGTGGATCCCACCCAGAATTTGGGAACGCTCCCGTCCCTCTCCCACGGGGATGCTGGAGAACGGGGTTGGGGTTTGGGGTCGGGAAGGACCCGTCACCCTCAGATCCCATCCCGGAGCGGTCCCGGGAATTTTTTCATGGATGAAGGACGGAACGTGGTGCTGGGTGGGAAAAGGGCACCCGGGGTTCCGGATCCTTCCAGGGCTCCCGGCCGGGATTCCCGTTCCCGGGAAGGCGGGAGCGGCGCTGCCGAGGGACCTTTCCCCTTTCCTCCAGGAAGAGCAGTGGGGCACGGGGGACACCCCTGGGTGCTCCAGAGCTTCTGTCCCTGTGGGATCCCGCTCGGATCCCCTGGGATCCCCCTCGCCCCGATCCCGATCCGCAGCCCAGCAGGGCTCGGGGGGTCAAAGCTCCCCCTTTTTCCCCGAGTTCCGAATTCAGGGGGTTGCAGGAGATGTTCCCACGCCGGTTCCTCACTTCCCGAGGGGAATGCCGGCAGCGCGGCTCCTCTTCCTGAGCCCTCATTGACCAGGAAATGTGGGATTGGGAAGCGAGGCCCCTCTCATCCCGCGGTGTTCCCAAGCCACGATGTTCCTGGCACTTCCCTCCCGGCTGGCAGCGGGGTTGGGGTGCCAGGGAGGATGCCCCTGTGCCCGAAGGGTTGGAATGCCGGGATGTCACCGGCACACGGCGCAGCCAGCGCTGCCCCGCTCCTCGCCAGGGACCTCTCCCAAAATCCCAAACCACAACTGCCGCGGGCAGACCACTGCTGGGGATTCCCGGGAATTCGTTCCTCGGCTGTCTCAAGGGTTTGATGCCCAAGCGTGGATTTGCCAGAACTGCGGAGTCCAAATCCCGGTTTTCCACGTCCCCACCTTGGATCAGGCCCTTCTCAGCCTTTGTTCCTCCAGCCTTGGGCCATTTTTCCAGGAGAACCTGACCGCCCGGTCGGACACGTTTGGTCCAGCGGCGCGGGATCGGGATCCATCTGTGGGATCCATGGAAGGGCAGAGTGTCCCTGTCCTGCTGGGATCGGTTCTCTGGGATCCATGGAAGGACAGAGTGTCCCTGTCCCACTGGGATCCGTGTGTGGGATCCACGGGAAGGGCAGTGTCCCTGTCCCACTGGGATCAGTTCTGTGGGATCCATGGATTGATGGATGGATGATGTGGATGGATGGATGGATGGATGGATGGATGGATGATGGATGGATGGATGGATGGATGGATGGATGGATGGATGATGGATGGATGGATGGATGGATGGATGGAT